TATAAAGGAATCAGCATCAACACCAACAATAACGTCAGCCTTGAAATCCAGCGCAGAATCGCTCCTGCCAACAGGTGCTTTCTTGGACTGAGTAGGTAATTGAAAAGTAAAGTCCTCATCCGACGACTGAAAACCAAACTCTACAAGTTCCACATCATACCCGTCGTGCGCATATGCGTGGACTATGTTAACATCTTATGAGCCGGCTCTAGGAATTCTCAAGAGAAAAGTTTTGCGTACAATGTAAGGTTCTTTGCTCATTGGCAAAGGCGAATACCGCAGATGATGGAACGATGAGCTGTACGAGTTATACGATAACAATGACATAGTTCAGCGAATCAAAAAGCAACGGCTACCCTGGCTGGGTCATGTGATCCGGAAGGATACGAATACTCCAGCTTAAAAAGTTTTCGATGCAGTACACGCCGGTTGAAGCAGAGGAAGAGGCAGACCTCCTTCTCCATTGGAAAGAGGCAGTAGGGAAGGACCTGGTTGTAGTTGGTATTCCCAATGACGCCAAACATCAAAGAGAAGAAACGAATTGCGCATTGTTGTTAACTCGGCAATAATCGCGTAAACGGTGTCTATACCAGTAAATAGAGTGTATAAACCAGATGTCAACGTATTACTGAGAGAAAAAGTTAGGTTAGGTTAGGTTAAACTGGCCAGCGGGTCTCAGTGCTATACTCTTTAATGTTTCTCTAGTTTAAAGAACATTGCTCTACTTTTCACAATTTAAAGTAGTTGTTTTGGCCTTTGCACCAAGTAAGCACGTCGTTGATCTGCCAAATACTGGACACTCACAGATTATGTGCTCCACTGTCTTCACACATCCCATACATATTTATTTGATTAAGTGCATGCGACATCAAAAGATAGTGCACCGTTAACAGTTCTATCAGCAGTCTGGAATGCACTAGCTTCGTCGTAATTTTTTTTTAGGAAATACCTCGACTCGGACCCAACTGAAGTGAGCGCAGTAAATTGGAACCCTACTGCTGAATTCATTTTAAAACCAACTGAAAAGTACGAAGAACTTTGTCTGCTTATCTCCACTCATTCGCTGTTCACTGTGACCCCATGTCGTAATTTTCAGATGTCTACAAGTATATAACCTCAACGCTCTATGTTACGTTTCCATGACAACTTGATATGTGTTTACGCGAGGATAACGAGGAGCATAACTTTGGGTGCTGGATAATTGCTTCCTGTTGCTTGGGTTTTTGCTTTCTAGCATGTATGTACGAATGATTTTGCATTCTCAAATAATCAGCGAAGTGATACGGCTGAATGGTTCATTGTTGGCGTTTGCTTCTTTTCTAAAGTAGTAGAGCTCGTTAAACACATTCTCAACGTAAGGTTTTAATAACTACTTTATACTTTTATTTAAGAAAAATATATGCGTATAACAGTATTATTCAAAGTATTGCCCATCTGAAGATATAACATTTTTCTTTATTTCAGGCAATTTGTTGATTCGTATCCAAAAGAACTGCGCCGGCTCCGACCGGAACAAATGGTAGTCAAAAGAGATCTGTGCTGTAGGGCGGGTGAGGGGGAACTTTGTTTTAATAGTTTTTAGCAGGTATTGCGACATGATGCCGAGCGTTTTCATAAACGAAAATCATTGCTTCGAGTCTGCTCGCAAATTTCGGGCATGCTCGTTAACTGTTCTCTTAACTTTAATGAGCTGTTGTCGATAGCATTCACCATTAATAAAATGCAGTCCGCTCTTTTTATTCCGCCAAATACAGAGAAATTCCTTGGCGCCATGGATATTCGGCATTGCTTTATATTTAGCTGGTTGGCTAAGCTTCACATATGGATTTTTACGCTTAGGGTTGTCGCATCAAATTTTCTTGCTTTTATAAGTTTTGAAACGGTTACTTGAGTATTGCCGAAGACTCTACACGTAAACATTTGTAGAGAATTACCTACACTGTTTCCTAGCTTACATAATATAAATGTATGTATATCTATACCTATATTACTACGTAGAAATCGCTCCACATTAGAGGTCTTTCTATCCCTCTGCTTCCACACTTTAAGAGACAGTGTTTTTTTTCATCGGGACCACGTGAGAACTCCATTGATCGCTGCATACAGGAAGAGAAAGAGGACTGACGGGACAAAGTTCAGAAAAGTCCTGACAGCATCCCTGGACGATTCTCGCAATAAGTTACGCTTATCTTTAAGACCTGATGAAGCGGGGACATCTGGGACACGGTCTATTTCTCTCGGTGTGCTTGATTCACCGTCGAAAATTGACCAAGCAGTGGGCTTTGTAACAAAAATCTGTAACGCCGCTTTTGAGGCCTCATGCCCTCCATCCATCCCGTCTGGGAAGAAAAGATCCAAATGATAAAATAATAAAATCTCTGTTTTAAGGAAAGAAGCAGAAATCTCTTTAATGAAGCGAAATTAACGAGCTCCTAGCAATCTTATAAGGCTTGCTTAATATCTTTAAAAACCTGTATAAGGAGGACAAAGCGAGAATCTTGGAAGGCCTCCGAGATATTCCACAGGACACGACCTAACCTTACGGGAAGTAAGTAAGTGGTTCCATGACGTTAGCAGCATTATTTTCTGTACAAGGGTGGAATGGGCGATTAGGTCTTAGGAGGGGCTTTCAACAACATTCTGCCTGCCTTGTGATGGAGGCTCTTCAGGAAATGGATCTTCAACAGCCCATAGTGAACATCGTAGAGTCTTATCTAAGGAAAAGGATAATTTTCGCAGATATGGGCAACGCCAGCGTTACCAGACACACAGCAGAAGAGAGGAACCCCTCAATGTGTATTACAACGCAATAAGATTGAATGCAACTCAACTTGAAAGAATTGCAGTATAGAACATACAAATATATTATCTCTTACAATGCCGAAGAAGATGGAGTGGGAACGCCTACATCCCCGACCAAGGAGCAATAGCCAACTTCACAGACGGCTCGAAGCTTGATGGGAGGGTGAGTTGCGCAGCTTATTTTCCCATGCTTTCAATAAGCATGAGCAAGAAAATACCGGATCATAGCAGCGTTTTCCAGGCAGAACTCTTCGCAATGATGGAGGCCGCTGAATGGTTGCACAAATCTACAGCAGCAGGACAATCAGTAACAATCTACTCCAGTAGTTAGGTTGCAATCAGATCTCTTCAATGTAACGGTACCACGTTAAAAGTGGCAGAGTCCCTGAAGCTCTCGACTCCTAAATTGGGATCCGTTGTCACACAAAACCGACCGAGGAGCTCCAAACAAAAGAATTACATCATCCTCCACTTATTTGCATACGTCTTTTGCCGTGGCAGTACGCACGGCTCGTTTTATATGAACCTCTTTCGCGGTAGGAAAGCTACACTTGGTATTCCATAAACTTTTAATTCGGCACCAGAATTGTGTGTGCCTAACACATTTACCGCCAATTCTGGATTGCTAAATTGACTCGCACACGCGCCAAACTATGAATCTATAATTGCCGTCTGGCCATGTTTCGCACTTCTGTGGATCACCGATCATTTATAACTGTAAAAATTTGATTTGATTAATTTTATTCCGAACCTTCTTCCCTTCCCCGTGACGTTATTATTGCCTAACGTCATTTCTGTCAGTAAGAAGCAGCCGTTGATACTTGCCTCACGCACGACGAATAGAAGAAATCAACCCAAATTTCTCGACTGAAGCGGAAACGAGACGCGTTTGCATACGGATTGAAAAAAAGTCAAATTGCATTCGTAAGCGAATTTTTGGCTGTGAACTCAGCGAACTGATTGGATCCTGAAACCTAATCTTGTAAAGGAGGGATAGAAAAATGAATCAACAAAACCCATTATTTCTTTGGCTTAAAAGACGCATGCAGCCGTACGAAAAGGAGCTATCCCTACATCACTGTACTTTGGTTTTAATTTTCTATGCCAAAAGTGCCAGAACTGTGAGAGAAGACCCTGAATAGTTTGTTACCCAGTATGGTTTTAGGCACACAGACTGTCTATAGAGAAAGTCTTGAGAGTAGTAGCGTAAACTAAACCGGCTTGGGACAGACGAAATGTCTCACACCAGATCTCAGCAAATATAAAATTTCAACAAAAGACCAAAGGAAGTGCGGCAGATGACAATGGTTGAGAAATCTCTTACGAGTTTTCCAACGAATAATTTTTATAATATGGTTTGTTAAATGCAAAACAGGCCAATCAAACTTCTCCTTCGTTTTGTGGTGGGAGTCTTCATGTAGAGACCGCCTCAAACCGGTTGATAGACTTACAATTGTTTTCCAAAGCTTCTTAGTTTTATTTTCATATCAGAAATATTGTCGGTGTGGTTATATTCTCTGCTGAGTGCCAACAGCTTGGCTGTTGGTCTTGCCAAGATAGACCAAGCTATAGGCTTGAGGTGAATAACAACCGGCGCTCCTTTCGTACAGAAACGACATCTGGCAACGATAACGTCAAGCTCAAGGGAAATAGGAGCTCAAAAAAATCACCCAGTTTTTACGGTTACAAGTGATCGGTGATCCACAGAAGTATGCAACGAAGCCGACCGACAATTATACAATAAATAAATAACTTGGCGCGTGAGTGAGACAATTTTTGCCAAGTTAAGATATTTATCAAATCCAGTGTTGGCATTAAATATGTTAGACGATGCCTATAATTTAATTCTGGGACCACCTATGTAGTTTATGGAAAACCAAATGTAGCCTTTCCTACCGGGAAAGTGTTTCGTATAACCGGAGCTGTGCGTGTAAGACTCACCTTGTTGACATTCCCGCAATCTGGAACATTCCTCTCAGGTGTGGTGCGCAGCTGAGAACATTACTTAAAGTGACAGCAGCCAGTAGAAGGCACGCTAACCTAATACGTGAAATAAACGGTGTGAACTCCCACACTTCAGTTGCAGTTGAGAGCACTACATTGGACTGTGCTATGCAACATTTTATTAGTTCACAAGTCCTATGTATCGAAAGCAAGATTGGAAAAAGGAAATTACTGTAGATTGAAGTTCTGTCATTTTCACTTTTATTTATGTATAAAATATTTTACACAGTTTTCAATTTTTTTTATTCATATTAAGCAAATTAGAGCAAAGCTTCAGACGTTGTAAAGCAATAGTATATAGCACTTTTAGGTAGACGAGACTTTTCCACCCACCGATCACTTTCCTCGTCATAAACATAAGAGCAGTCTTTTGGTCCACACCACCAACCGCCGATAGTCCATAACTGATTGTTTAAGGAAACACAACCAGGGCTCGCTATTGCGGAAGGACACGCACAGATCTGTGAATGATTTTAAAATTTCAAATTGTTAAATTTCTGAAAAATTCGTAAAAAGTTCTTAACTAACATTCGTCCATTCATCTCTTCGTGGATCGTATCGCTCAGCCGCCCCTTTTCCTACAATATATATGAATCCCTTGTGTACGGCAGCCTAAAATGTAAACAAATACAATCTCATGGGGATTACTTTGAAAGGGGACAAAATAGATATTCATGAATAAATAAATAATTTTTGAAAAAAACACAAAATTCCCGATATTTTTTGAACACACCTCGTATATGCTCTTATGTACACTGCGCGACAACCGATTAGCACACTCTCTAACCTATCAGTTTAAAGGAAAATAACTCCCTACTCTGAATATGTTTCATGCGCATTCTATTTTTCCTTTTATTCTGTATCATTTTTGCTCATCTAAGTATAACTGTGAGCTCTGGAAGTGTACCGTTATTTTGCTTTACTTTTTTCTTTGAAGTGCGACAAAAATGCATGCATATTTTTTGCGTCAGCCGATTAGCACGTTTTCGCCTTCATGTCACTTTTTGCGTGTCAGCTGGAAGAGTCTGAAAAAGGCAAAATAAAAGCTTATAGGGAGTGCGGGCACTCTATTCTTCAAATATCAAAAAATATTACACGCATCTAATTCCCACGACTCAGTCGCTAAAATAAAGGAAAAAACTGGTGTTAAAGCGTGCGTTCGGACTGTGCAAAGAGTTATTTCGAATGATGAACATATGAAGCATCTAAAATTAAAAAAAAAAAACACCTCTAAACCAACTTAGAAAGATGCAACGACTCATTTTCTGTCGATAAAATATGACCTGGACTAAGGAGTGGGAGCGTGTAGTCTTTTCAGATGAAAAAAAATTCAATTTGGAGTGTCCTGACGGCTTTACCTACTATTTTCATGATCTCAGAAAGGAAGAGCATACTTTAGATCGATTGCACAGCCGTGCGGGTGGTGTCATAGTGTGGGGAGCTTTAACATATTTTGGCACTATAGAACTGCAGTTTCTTACCAGCCATATGAATGCCATTGCGTACAAAGGTGTACTGAATACGGCTTTCCCTGCAATCAAGGATATTTTTGGACCCTTGAAATTGAAGTTCCAGCAGGACAACGCACCCATCCACACAACGAGGATTGTAAAGTCCTGGATTGATGGTCAAAACGTGGAATTACTGACTTGGCCGCCATACTCTCCCGACCTAAACATTATAGAAAATGTTTGGGGATGGCTGTCACGAAAGGTGTACGAGTCCGGCAGGCAGTATTCAACTGAAGCAGAACTCATTGAAGGAATCAAAAAACCCTGGGAGGCTGTTTCACTCAATTATATAAAAAAATTATATGACTCCTTACCTCAGCGGATGTACGAAGTCATACTTAACCGTGGAGGCTCAAGTTATTATTAATTTGTTTTCAAAAAAAGTTAAAAATATTTAAATTAATATTAAAAAACAATTTGAATGAAGTTTGAACCCATTTCCTTTTGTTATTTTAAGTTTTCAAGTGACTGTGCTAATCGGCTGTCGCAAAAATAATAGAGAATTTTGTATGTTATGTTTGTTTATATTAATTTAAAATGTTATTAATAAAGTAAGTATCCTATCTTCTATTAATTTTCGTGTGAAATTGTATATTCTTTTAAGGGAAAAAAAATTTATTTGAAACATTTTTTTTAGTTTTCCTGATATTAAGTTTCCAAGACGAGCATCATAGGGTGTGCTAATCGGTTGTCGCGCAGTGTACATATATATAATCTCAATGTTGTCGCTCAGTTTAAATGTGTATTATTAATTAAATAAAGGATATTTTTCTTTTTGAAATTTTTTTATGATTTGACTTGAATTAAATGTAAACCGAAATTTTTTTTAGTTGTTTTAACAGGTGAAGATAATTACAAGGTTTTGGAAACCGGAATACTCGTAGTCAACTGGCCACGGGCTCAACCACCCTCAATCATCTGCGAAATGTAAGAGCTTCGATCCCGGACAAGCACAACGTGATCACATTCTTAAATATAAAATTGATTTAAAAGTCGCGTTTTTAATTTAATGTTCACTTACACCATGATAGCTAAACGAGTTATTCGTACTCGCACAAAAAGTCCAAATATCTGTATTTGGATCGTAGCGTTCAACAGAGTTTAAAGGTTCACATCCTCCGTCACCTCCCATTACGAAAATGTTTCCATTAAAGGCCACTGCCGCTGCCGCACTACGTCGTGTATTCATGTCGCGTACCGTCCGCCAACCCCCAGTGGAGGTGAACCTAAAAGGAATGGAAAATAACAAAACCAATGGACTGCAAAACTAAATCATACAAACATAGCTTAAGCCTTGGAAGACTCTATTTATGCATGCATTCATACATACATTTGTGCATTTATTAAAAAAAAATCGAGTTGTTTGTGTGTTTGAAATAGATGTACCAACATTTTTGTGTATATTTGCTAGGTAAAACAGTGTGTTAATAGAGTATGGAGTGTATTTCACACCGCTAAATGGTGCATGTATTCACTTGTTCAGAAAATCTGTTATCTGTACAATATTTATAATGGATGAGTGCATAAGTTCGTGCCCGATTCCGCTGGATGCCGTTCGAATCGTTTGAGAGTGGCGCTCGTGAAAGAAATATATACATATTATATATCGTTGGAAAGGCGACAGTCCGAACTGTAAATCAAGCGTAAAATAACTTCATTTTGATTTGAGTTGCTCAGTGAAAAGACGCATGGAAGATGGACAACGAAAAAGATCATATGCGTCATATTATGTTATACGAATTCCGCAAAGGAAAAACAGTAGGCGCTGCAGCTAAAGATATTCGCGAAGTTTATTTGGACCGTGCTCCAGCACTCCGCACAATAAAGAAATGGTTCGCAAAATTTCGTTCTGGAGATTTTAACCTCGAAGATCAACCTCGCAGTGGACGGGTTTCTGAGCTTGATGACGATGTTCTAAGGACTTTAGTTGCGAATAACTCACGTATTTCGACGGAAGAGGTTGCCAGTGAATTGAACGTCAACAAATCAACTGCGTTTCGTCGTTTAAAAAAGGTTGGGTACACTTTGAAGCTCGATACATGGGTGCCACATCAGTTGAGTGAAAAGAACAGGGTGGACCGTATGTCAACAGCAATTTCTTTGCTTCGACGGATCAAAAACGAACCTTTTTTGGATCGGCTCGTGACTGGTGATGAAAAATGGATCCTGTACAACAATGTTCAACGCAAAAGAACATGGAAACAGCCACACGAAGGGGCGGAACCGATGTCGAAAGGTGGATTGCATCCGATGAAGGTACTGCTGCGCATTTGGCGAGGCGTGATCTATTTTGAGCTCTCGCCAGCTGGAGAAACGATCACTGCCAACAAGTATTGTCAGCAATTGGTGAAATTGAAGAAAACAATTGATGAAAAACGTCCGATTTTGACCAATCGCAAAGGAGTTCTTTTCCATCATGAGAACGCCAGGCCACATGTTGCAAAACCGACCCTGGCCAAAGTGAAGGAGATGAATTGGGAAATCATGCCGCATCCCCCATATTCACCCGACATTGCACCTTCTGATTATCATTTGTTTCGATCGCTGCAGAACAATTTGAATGGAAAAAAATTTAAAAATGTGGAAGACGTCAAAAACCACCTTGACACCTCTTTCGACGAGAAACCGCGCGATTTCTATGAATCAGGCATCCGTAAATTGGTTGAACGTTGGGAGTGGATTGCCGAACATGATGGCGTATACATAATTGATTAATAAAAGCGCTTTCTTCGAAAAATTACAATTTTTGTTTGGACTTGAAATCGGGTACGAACTTATGCACTCATCCGCAATAAAATTTGATATGTGACTTTGAGTTCTCCCATGAAAATTTTTAAAAGTAATAACTTTTAGTGCAACTTTGCAATTGCTTTTAAGGTTGTATTAGTTTTAAAAACTATTACTATCTTTGTATAGTAATTAATTAAGGCTGCATCGGAACGGTAAATTTCACCTTAACCAATAAACTTCCATCATTTCGGTTGCAACATTGGCAAATGTTATCGTTAAAGTAGTTATTAAAATACATTTTACCTCGTTTTGGCCTGAAACCAAGAGCTGTTAATAGTCGTTAATGTTAAATCGCTAACAGAAAATGTTAAATATTAAAATTAGTGTGCACTGTTGATATCATAGCAAGCAGCAATTTTAAAATTACCACTAACGTTGAGTTTGTGCGGTTGAGTTGAGCAATTTTGGTATCAACCGTGTTTTCTCCAAAGCCCAAAAATTTTATGAAATCTGCCAAATGACACACACAAATATAGTGAATTTTATTTGTCACTAGCCTTTACCCTTAAATAAGTAACTAAGAGTTTCACCCTTAACAGGCCTATTCTCACTGTTACCGGTAAAGTAAATTTTGTTACTTTTCTTTAACATCCGAAATTGAATTTGGTATTCTGGCGAACTGGTTACAATGTTTGAAAAATAAACTTGGCAGCACTGCTTTTTTCGTCCATATCAAATTACATTTGCCAGTTGTTGAAGTAAAGAAGAATAATAGTCACATCGAAATGGAAGACGGCGCACAAAAAAAATTAAAAAGTTTTATAAATTTGTTTATTAAATCATAAATATTTGAACCAAATTATGGAAAATATGCCTGGACAATAAAAAAAAGCTGATTGAAAACGTTATCTTACAAATTAAAGCGCTATTTTTTAGACTCGAAAACTTCCTAAAATACGGCTTTTTGCACTTTTTTCTTCATCTTCAATGAATTCCAGGCATAAAATATGCCTACCCATTTTGGCTTTTTTATTTTTTCTCAAACTTACAACACAAAAACAAACAGCAGATATTTTTGTTACCTCCTAATTCGCTGGAAACAAAATTTACAGGGTAACAGTGAGCTCAGAATACGAAATAGTAACAAAATTTACTGAATGGTAAATTTTATTACCTAGGTAAAGTTGGTTACCTCGACAGAATAGGCCTTTAAATAGAGATCTAAGGGTTCTAAAAAATAAGTACATACATATTTTTTTAGGACCTTGTACACATTTGTAGGAAACTAACTGAGTTTGAATGGCAATTTTGCTAAATTCAACAAATTAACTGAGAGTTACATATTTTTTTTTGAAAAATGCTCAATTGAAGAAACGTTTTATGCGTGCTCGTGCAGGCACCACAAATTTAGTCAGTATCTGTTGTTTGAAAGACCAAGGGTGAAAGGGAGGAACCTTATGACTTTTGCAAAAATTAAACATTTAAAATTAGGCGTGAGTCCATTCACGATTCACGGCACGACGTTAAACGCTTGGTCTATTGGAAAAACACTTTGGTGAATAAGTATTTTTTAAGTTCTTTTACAAGCAAATGATTTTTTCTCTTGATAATGTTACCTTCCATAAACAACATGTAAACTTACACTTCTACCGACGCTAAAAGACTCCTTCCGTTCTCTCCACCAATCGCGTACATTTTGCCATCTAAAGGTACAACTATGTGGTCATCCCGTATGTAAGTCATTGCTGGCAGCTGTTTCCATCTTTTACTTCGCAAATTCAAGCTTATAATTTCATTCGCTTGTCGACCTTGTCGTCCACCGGTGAATATTAGATTATCATCATTAAAAACAACTCTGGCCCAAAAGACACGAAAGGTATCTATAGCTGCATATCTTAGCCATTTATCTACACTTTTATTATATCGTAAAATACATTTAAAACGATCCTGTTTAAAGAAATTGCAAATAAGTAGAAAAATATGAGAGACATACACTTTCACTCATAACATACATTTATACAATACATATATATTCTATGTATATCTTGTATGATATAAAAAATCTAATGCCCGATTGTAAAGGTTCGGTGTACTCCAATAGTTATTTACCGATTGGATTGAAATGTTAAAGATTTCCAGAGAGCAAAAGACCTACTTCTTTCAATAGGTTTTCATTCTTTTTAACATATTGTTGCGAAAATGCGAGGCGAATGTCAGATGAAAGAGAGAAGCCGATAACTAGTACATTCTAGAAACGATAAAACGAGAACCTTCGATAGCGAAAAACTCGATTATTCTACACTTTCGTCTACGAGCAGCCGACTGCTATATAAGGGCGACACTCAGCTGCCAAGTGGAGTCAGTTATAAAGTGAACTCGTTGGCGTTAACATCAGTAAAGTCGTAAAGTAAACGCGTTGGGATTACATTTAAGTAAAGTAAATTGTGAAAGTTTATGCAAGTGTCAGTTTGCACATAAGTTTGCAGCATCATCAGATTTTTGAAATCTGCATGCTGTGAGGACGTGAATAAAATGTTTGTACTTACAAAACCAGTTGTTTCCACCGCGAAATAAAATTTCTCTTTAACATTTTTACGTGAAGATTGTCGCGGTTCTTTGAATTTTAATGCTATTACATTTCGTGCCAAAGGTTGACTGTCCCATACTATTGTCTGTAAAGCCAACGTCTCACATCCTGGCAATGGGTAAATATTTGTCAATATGAAATTCGCATCGAATTGCGGTAAACGCAAGCAACCAATGAGGTCAGGCAAATGACGTTCACGGCCGGGAGTATCATGTTTGTACCATCGTTTAATCGCATCAAAGGCATCTTCTTCGCAAGACACATTCAAGTCGTCGCTCTCTAAGATTCCCTTCAATTTTTCATAGTTAAAATTCAAGAACTCAGTAGTGTCTTTTAGCTATGGGAATAAGAAGGTGTAATGAGTTAAAAAAAATGTAATAAATAACATTTTATATATGTAAATATGTAGGTATTAGGTATTTAGTATTACATTTGGCGATAGTTGAGCTGTAATGCTTAGCTCTAAATATTCCAAAAACGTTATTAAATACTCGTATAAGTGTATATAGAACGTTGAGCTCGTCTAACAGTAATATGATGACACATGAAGCTCTAAAATATGAACATATTTGTTTTGAAAATCATTCAGCGGTTGGTATGTATTGGATGAGTGCATAAGTTCGTGCCCGATTTCAAGTGCAAACTAAAATTGAAATTTTTTGAAGAAAGCGATTTTATTAATCAATTATGTATTCGCCATCTTGTTCGGTAATCCACTCCCAACGTTCAACCAATTTACGGATGCCTGATTCATAGAAATCGCGCGGTTTCTCGTTGAAAAAGGTGTCAAGGTGGTTTTTGACGTCTTCCACATTTTTAAATTTTTTTCCATTCAAATTGTTCTGCAGCGATCGAAACAAATTATAATCAGAAGGTGCAATGTCGGGTGAATATGGTGGATGCGGCATGATTTCCCAATTCATCTCCTTCAGCTTGGCCAGAGTCGGTTTTGCAACATGTGGCCTGGCGTTGTCATGATGGAAAAGAACTCCTTTGCGATTGGCAAAAATCGGACGTTTTTCATCAATTGCTTTCTTCAATTCCACCAATTGCTGACAATACTTGTTGGCAGTGATCGTTTCTCCAGCTGGCAAGAGCTCAAAATAGATCACGCCTCGGATATCCCACCAAATGCACAGCAGTACCTTCATCGGATGCAATCCACCTTTTGACATCGGTTCTGTCCCTTCGTGTGCCTGTTTCCATGTTCTTTTGCGTTGAACATTGTTGTACAGGATACATTTTTCATCACCAGTCACGAGCCGATCCAAAAAAGGTTCGCTTTTGATCCGTCGAAGCGAAGAAATTGCTGTTGACATACGGTCCACTTTGTTTTTTTCACTCAACTGATGTGGCACCCATGTATCGAGCTTCAAAGTGTACCCAACCTTTTTTAAACGACGAAACGCAGTTGATTTGTTGACGTTCAATTCATTGGCAACCTCTTCCGCCGAAATACCTGAGTTATTCGCAACTAAAGTCCTTAAAACATCATCATCAAGCTCAGAAGGCCACTCCACTGCGAGGTTGATCTTCGAGGTTAAAATCTCCAGAACGAAATTTCGCGAACCATTTCTTTAATGTGCGGAGTGCTGGAGCACGGTCCAAATAAACTTCGCAAATATCTTTTGTTGCAGCGCCTACTGTTTTTCCTTTGCGGAATTCGTATAACATAATATGACGCATATGATCTTTTTCGTTGTCCATCTTCCATGCGTCTTTTCACTAAGCAACTCAATTCAAAATGAAGTTATTTTATGCTTGATTTAAAGTTCGGACTGTCGCCTTTCCAACGATATATAAATAGTATTTTCATAACTTAATTGATATTAGCGCGTTCAAACTCAGTCTCGCGCTCCAGTCCACTTGGAAGGTTTTCCGTAAATTTGGAATCACCCCCTGTAGGTGTTGACGTTGCCATGCCGCTTTCCATTTGTACTAAAATAATTATTTAAAATACAATAGTTGGAAAAGTAGAGAATGCAATAGTTAAAAATATAATTAATAATATTCACATACATATAATATGTATGTATTTACGAACTGCTGAAATGATGATATGATATAAAATTCGAGTTACTCGAATCGACAAATTCTTATCGATCTGGGGAGTAACAAACTCCCCTCGTCTTGTTTGACGAGAACGTAAAAAATCATATATACTTTTTATATGTATGTGTATATATATGTACTTATGTATGCAGGCACATATGCTACATGTACGTATGTACTCGTATATGCGAAAGCGTATTGAATGTTCCAATATTTTTAAGCTTTAAAAACCGCCACTTTCACTTTGAATTAATAAACAAAAAAAAATTTATCGCAAATACCCTACCCTAAAACAGTAATAATTTGGGCGATTTTGTTATATGTATGTAGTTTGGAGTGAGTTATTCAAACAAAAAAATTCAAAAAAATTTAATAAACCCATAAACACACATAAAAATAAGTACGTATATATGTAGATGTGTAGATAAGCATGCAGCATAAAATTGAAAACGAATTTTAAATTCGACATTTTCTTGATTTTCGTTTAGTTTGATGTGTATTGTCAAATATTTTTTAGAGATTCGACAATTGAAGTCTGTCTCAGTGGGAAAAAGAAATGTTGAAATTGTTGCAATCTGGAAAGTATTAAATCATGGCATTCGATCAGTATTTCCGTTTCCAAATAAACCGAATCAGAAAGTGCTGGAGATTGATTATTTCAAATTACTTACAAATATATTTACATACTTGTATGTACATACATAAATATCTATCTTGCGAGATAACTACTAACATTTGTAGTACTTAAAAATAAAAATAGTTTCGAAATCATCAACTAGAGTTCAGGCTCTTCGGACGTACATGCATGTTATATATACGACCCCTAACCACTATTAATCGGTACGGCAAGGCATCTTTTGAAAATACAATTTCCAATTACATTTTTTCATGGTTGTTTTATCATCATTAATTTCATATTAAAACATACATATATGTGAAATATCTCCCTTCGGCTTTTTTGCTCTTCATTCAATGCTTTATAAAAAGTGTTACAGGATGTTACGGATTTAGTTAAAATATGCGCCGTTTTGTTCGATGATCTTTTTTCCATCTAGATGGCAACTTCATAATACGTTCCTCGTAGAAGCCCCCCTCCTTATTTGCGAAGAATTCGGACAGCCATTTTAAACAAGCCTCTTTTGAGTTCAACTTCACACCACCAAGGGCATTCGCCATGGACAGGAACAGGTGGTAATCACTTGGCGCTACGTCCGGGCTATATGGTGGATGCGATAAAACCTTCCATCCCAGCTCCCGTAGCGTCTGATGAGTCATCAACGAAGTGTGTGGTATGGCGTTGTCCTGGTGGAACACTACACCCTTTCTGTTGGCCAATTCTGGACGATCGCCTGCTTCAAGCGGTCCAGTTGTTCGCAGTAGATGGTAGAATTAAGCGTCTGGTCATATGGGGGCAGCTCATAGTGGATGATTCCCTTCCAATCTCACCAAACACACAGCAAAACCTTCCTGGCCGTCAATCCCGGCTTGGCCACTGTTTGGGACGATTCACCGGCCTTCGACCACGACCGCTTTCACTCGATATTGTCGTATGTGATCCATTTTTTGTCGCCAGTCACCATCCGCTTCATGAATGGGTCGAGTTCGTTCCGGTTCAGCAGCATATCGAAGGCGTTGATTCGGTCCAGAAGGTTTTTTTGCGTCAAATTATGCGGCACCCAAACATCAAACTTTTTTTTGTATCCAGCCTTTTGCAGATGGTTCAAAATGGTTTGGTGACTAACTCCCATCTCCTGGGCGATGTCACGAGATGCCAAACACCGGTCTAACTCGATGTATTCCATGATTTGATCGGTATTTGTCGTCACAGGTCTTTCGCCGGCTTGCTTATCCATGGTGTCGTTTTCACCAGCTCTGTATCGTCGAAATCATTCCTCCGCGGTTTGAAGTGATAGAGTACCATCCCCCAAAACACCATTAATCTCACGGAACGTTTATCTAGCGGATTTGCCTTTAACGAAGGAAAACTTTAAAATAGCGCGAATTTCGGCGTTAGTGAACTCCATGTTTACACGTCCATAACTGTTGAACGCAATATCCAAACTAATCATGCATAGCGTTGTTTTGTAGGTTATGTCAAAACCTTTCAAATTATGTATAGTGTTGCCAGATACGAGCTCTGTAGCGCTTTTTACATAGCCGCGAAATTCAAAAAAAAAAAAAAGCGGAAGGGAGATATTTGACAACCTAATATATTGCATATAAAAAATCTGAAGAGATCAATTAAAAAAAAAAACACTTTCAAAATACACGAAATTATTTTGACAATTTTTAATTGGTACGGCACCAATATTTATTTTTTAAAAAATGAGATGCTGTTCATTTTATTTTTAATAACAGATTTATTGCTCTTATCCATAGTTTTTGCTAAGTTATGACATTGTTCTGGAGTTATAGAGTTTCAAAATTCCTGGATCTTTGACTTTAGTCCAAACAATGTACAAACATATTTACATATTATATGTACATACATACATATATATCCACAAAAATTAATGTGAAAATTACTCATATTTTTTAAGTACACTTGCAAATGAAAATAATTTCGAAACCAACAACAAAAGTTCAGGTGCTTCCGACATACATACATATATACATTTTAAACTGCTATGTACATATAGATACGAGACGCAAAATAATTTCGATAAACAATAATAATAATATTGTATGAAAGCTACATAAAATGCATCTTCATAAGTTGATTCCATAAGAGCTTCTTCTAAGATTTGTATTCGCTGCACAACACAAAAAAGAGGATAACACCTACATATGTAGGTCAATCAAGTTGGAACTTTTTAATTTAATTAAATTTAATATGCACATACATACATACATATGTATGTATATTTGTTCTTTCAGATTTCAAAATATTTGGGGGGAAAAAAATGTGGGTAAAATCCGCTTTACACTCATCAACACTAAAATATGCACACAAAAATCCTAAATTATTTAGGCGCCGAGTTGAGCTGACACAATTATTAATACAAAAATATTTCATAAATTAGATATACTTGTATTTTTGTAATCTTGTACTTTTTATATACACGTACAGTAGCGCAACTGTTTTATATCTCTACCGAAATGCAGTCCAACACACGGTGGCTGAAGCTGAAGACTGTCTGCCTCACACAGCCGAGGATATTTATTTAAATGACTAAAAGTCTTAATCCACAACTACTGTACTGTATATATGGATATATGTATGTATGTATGTATGTATGTATGCATGTATGTATGTATGTATGCATGTAAGGTTTTTGTTTTCGTATATTCGCCACCACCTGCAAGCCTGTGAATTTTCCAAAAGTTTTGCTTAAAGGGCACACTTATGTATATATGTATGTATATGTACGAATGTAATGGTGATAACGATTAGGTATTCCCTAACTTATAGATTCATTAATATGTACTTATGTACATATGTATGGATGTGGGTATTATTATTAGTAATTTCCTAAGAAATAGTTTAGATTGAC